TGCTTGTTTCACACTGCTTTTGAAATCATCATGTTGGAGTCACAGAACTGTGGTGCCACTGTGTCTATGGCTGAATTGAACAACTTGTCTAATGCTGTCTATGGTAGTATGGACTGTTCAAAACTTATGACGGATGATTCTGGGGGCATGCGGTGTTATTTATGCAACGGTTGGCATCATGAAATCTGTACTGCCTTGAGATCTGACCAATATGTAATGCAGCCGACTACCGATAGCTTGCTGTTCAGTTGTGTCGAATGCTGGCCTGGGCGTCTTGATGTCGCAGATGAAGCCTTGCGCACCGTCGCGATGGATAATCAGCAAATGTTGTGTTTCCTCACTTCTCTTGACCGTGGTTACTGATGAAGAAATTTAGAGTCCACATCGATGTCGGTCCATTGGACGAACTCGCTCGGCCAATCTCATCTGATATCGGTAGAAATCCGCCTCAGGTTACGGCGACCGTGTCGAATGCACCAGCTACACAGAATACCACTAACGCGTTCTATGATGGCTTATTGGACGGTGTTCACAATGAGATCGAACTTATGGTTCTTGTTCTTACTAGAAACAGGAGGAAGAGGGCTAAGAAGGTCCGTAAGGCTCCCGAAAAGCCTGAGGGGAATAAAATCACGATGGCATTGGAAGTAGAGCACAAAACTCGAGCCCCTGTTACCCCAGCTCTTTTGGCGAAAGCACACGTCGTGCCCCCTCGGTCAAATCGATCGAACTTGGTGTCTAGTCGAAAACTCATGGCGTGAATACATCTCGTGGTGATCTTTGTACTTATGGCAGCGTTATCTTCCGTGACATTACTGTATCTTTGGCAGCTGTTCCCACGAAAACCAATGCTGGATGACCTGCAATGGTTCCGGCTGTGCGTCACCAAGACTCTTCCACTCGTTCTCACTGGTGTCACCATCAGAACGCAGATCAGGCTGGGGAACGTTATTGTCGGTGCGCCGAATCCGCGACCTCGACTACTTCGCTTGATCCTTTCAACCCCAGGGGAATGCAAAGAGTTACTGCGCTTTGCATACAAAATCAATGTTAGCAGTGTCAACTTTCAGTCGGTCCGCTCACTGGTAGATAGACTGAATTTGAAGAAAACCACCATATACCTCGAAAACAGACAGGCGAATAATGAGCGAGGCCTCCAGCTTGGGAAGTTTTAAGTGGTCAGCTGGAGGTAAATTTCTGCCCTACCGGAACCCATCCTGATAGCGCATGATCCAGGGCTGATCATACTGAGTTCTTTCAAGTAGTATTCAGCAGTGTGCGTAGTCTAAGTAACAAGGTACACGTGGTAGGTATACTTGTAGACAAACCTTGTCCCGACATACTTCCTTTCACTGGAACGTGGTTGTTCCAGGATATCACGGATAGTGATGTATTTGTACCTGGATACTCGCTGCTTAGAACTGATCTCTCCGTTGGCCATCAAGGTATAGGCGTTGCACTTTATGTGAGCTGTAGATTAATTCTGTTAAGGCCTAACACATTTCAGGTGCTAGAGCAAACTGTGGAAGCCCTATCGACTGTTGTGTGAGATTTCACTGCTTAGTCTATAGTTGTAGTGGCATATTGAAGTCCTGGATTACCCCCAAGGTAGTCACTCGGGTTGCTAATAGGCCTCCAGTACTGGGTGATTTCAACCTTCCTGAGGTCTGTTGGGCTGAGCTATCTTGCAGTTCAGCCATGGGCACCTTCGGTTCGGATCTCCTCGAACTAACGTTTCAACCAGCTTTGCATCAGTTCGTGGACCTCCCCGCTAGGTACATGGGCAACCAACTGCTCTCTACCTTGGATCGGATTTTCGCGAAGTTACTCGATTTCGCAAGTGATGTTATATACAGCTCTCCTCCATGGGCCATTGATCGGGTCTGTAATTATTTCCGTTGTATGATTTATAAGTATCACCAAAATACTCCTGAAATATGCCCGAATATTTGGCGAGTGGACTTCAACGCAATGCAAGACAACACTTCAGATCTGCAGTGTGTGATCTCCGTGACCGAGAGAGTTGAGTCGTCCTGGGAGAAATTTAACGCATATCTCCCCGCAGTCTGCTCCTCACATGCCATTCAATACAATAGAGAGATAAGGGTGCAACATCCATGGATGGATTATGGAGGTAAATACCTGATCAGGAAGCGGTCTAAGTGCTGGCGAGCTTACCAAGCGGTTTCATTAACCAACACCTATGAAAGCTTTCGAGCAGTTAGAAATAAATGTGAACAGCATTTTAGGACTGCTCGTCATCAGAACGAGAACGAGTTAGTTGACGCAGGCGTGAAAAACCTAAGAAAGATTTTTGCTTGCGTAAAGTGGCACAACGGTACAAACGCGTCTATACCGACGTTACTATGAGCGGACGGGACCCGTGTGCTTACCGACTATGATAAGGTTCGTATACTTAACGAACACTATACTGGTGTCTTTGCTCGTGAAACCCCTCTACTTCCGGTTGTGCTGATCACAAGATTCCCGGAGGATTCTTGCCTAACTGAAATCAGCATAAGGGAGAGTCAAACCTTCGGGCTTTTTATAGCAAGGGCCAAATCCTTCCAAAACTTCTTGCTCTGCTTCAACTCATCCGAAGCTGATGCACAAATTGGCCGCTGAACTAAGTGATCCTCTTACATGCGAATTTAAAATATCACTTAAAAAGCTGCGTCTTATTTACGGACCGCAAAAAGGCAAGCGTCTGTCCGATTTTTAAGAGCGATGACAGTAGTCCGTCCACAAAGTACCAGTCTGTCAGCTTGACAAACGTAGTAGACAAGTTATTTGAAAAACTGGTGATGGTTTTGGTAGAGAATCACCTGAATAAATTCAATCTTCTCAGTGCTGCACAACACAGATTCCTTAAGGGATTTTCTTGTCTAACGCATTTACTTGTACCTCGTGAAAGTTGAGCTGAGGCAGTAGACAGTGGCCATGCTATTAATGTGCTTTCCGCTAACTTCTCGACAGCCTTTGATACTGCCCCGCATCTACGACTCACTAAAATTAAGATAATATTGGACATCTGATGGTACTTTCAAATGGGCTTTTCTAAAGCGGAGAAAAGTGTGTCCTGGTGAAGGGCAGCCTTTTGCGTACGCAAGCTGTTCTTATCAATTTTCCACAGGGATAAGTTTTACGGTCGTAGCTTTTCACAATTTATATCAAGGACCTACCCCAGGAGTTTGGGGTACTGTCGCTATTGTTTGCTGATGACCACAAGCTCTGAGATATTAAAGATATCCTTGGGGGTTTTGAGGCAATTCAGAGTGCGTTTGATAGCTTGTGACAATGCGTAACCTTATAGTTGATTCTCACAAATCAGGTAGAGTGTTTTGTTCTCTGCATCGGAGCAGCTCGTCCCCCCACGCGATATGTTGTTGTCACTCATCAGTTTGATCTAGGCGTCGTTCCCTCTTCAGTCCTTCACTCTGGAGACAACTGGAAGGAAGTCTCTTGTAGTGGGTTCCGTCGATGTCCTACAGGCTTTCCTCAGCTTTTGTGCGACCCCACTTCGAATACTGTATCCAGGCTTGTCCGCCGTCTCGCAAGGGACAGAATGGAACTATGAGTAGCGATAAGGTTAGTGCAGCGTTTATAATATCAAATGTATCCCGAAAGTTTGCTTAGCTTTAGGATGTACTCAAGGTATTACCGGATAATTAGAGGGGACTTGATCCTTACTTACCGCTTCCTAATGGATAAGACCGGTCCGAAATTGTTCTGGCTATTTACAGCCGCCAAGCTGACTAATCTCCGCGATTACCCGTTGGAGCTGCACAAACTGGTTTCTGACCTGTTTAGGACAGAAACGCGCTTGTCGCACCGAATTATTGGACGTTGGAACTCGCTTCCAGAGCACATCGTTATGGAATCTTCGGGTGACGGTTTCGATCGCAACTTGGATGCTCTTGGGTGGCCGTAGCAATGTTTCCCTTTCTCCTAACCGACTTGTCTATTCACCTTTCTGTCCTTTTTTAGTTCTTCTGATATCGGCATCACCAATAGCTAGGTGACATCCATCCTCTTGTTTTCTCAGCTTACCGTTCACTCTTGCTTCACATGAACCGACCAGACAGGGACTGCTGGGCAGGAAATGTGAGCAGTACTTAGTTGGACAGGGTACGATACGGTCTTTGTTTTAGGCTTTACAACATCTCAAGCCGACTTATCAACTCCCGGTTCAACACAGCTCAGAAGCAGGAACATCCATTTGATTATACCCTCGTTCCGGTCTCAAGTGAACTTGAAATTGAGCTTGAAGTTCCAATGCTTTCAGATTGCAATGGTGCTTAAGGTCCCGTATAACCAAGGACTGGATATCCAGGGTAACCGAGACGACAAGAATCTGTTGCTTATTCCAACCCTGTCATCGGTGTTTCAGTATAGCCTTAACACGGTTGGCGTTTGAAGGAAGCCATGCTAACTAACATTATAATGTTACATAGAGGTAAAAATGGCACGCTTGTAAGTAAACAGCAACGGATGTTGGTGCATTCCACAGGACCGCCGTCCAGCAAAATTGGTGCAATAAATTCGCTTTCATAATTAGTGAGGACCTGTCGATCATTCAAACATACTAAGAAAAATCTGAAAAGACACCGTTAACTTCTCAGGGATCTTCACAGCATTTCTGTGTGAGATCCAAAGGCTATGGTGGGAGGTGTGTGCGCTCATCGTAGCCATCTTCGACAGATCTGCTTTACGCAGACAATTTCTATAGGCACTATACTGTTTACCCTTCCATCTGTAAAGTGTGATTCAAGCGTAGATCGCAGACCGCTTCTTCGGTACTTTATACCCAACCTTCTGTTGTCGACGTGCTTGCATAAACTATTGAAGTCGGGCCAAAGTACTCACGCATTAATCTTTTGAAGGAATGATTCGCCTTCAAGAGTAACTGAATGCACGCAATTTCAGCACTGTCCAGACTTGTTGGCCCTGTTAACTGGGCCAGAGGAGATTGGGTATATACGTCCTACTGCATTCCTTACCACCTTGAGTTTCTCAGTCATGGTTGCAATAAACGACGAAGAAGCATTGGTTCCGGCTCCCCGTAGGTTACCGTGTAACATGTGCAGGCGAATTCTGTTGGGTTACTGACAAGGGGATCTTCGACCTGAAAGCTCTGGTACATTGCCTCAACCAAGTCACAGCGTCGTACTGTGTGGCAGAATGGATCGCGTTAATGCATCCGGTTGAATATTATACACCGCAAGTATAGTGATACATCACGGGAGTTTAACTGCTTGAGGTTAATAAATGGATCTTTAAATACAGTTTACCGATTATGAGATACCTATTGTTGAGCCCAGTTGATGCACAAAATTATCTGTCGCCCTGAGTCCGGATAAGGTGTTTGTGCGACTATACTATGGAACCCCGGCAGTCATCACTTCTAATATTGTGCTAGATTATCGATCAAAAGATATCAAGCTTCCGATTTGTGTAGACCGAATTCGTCCCAGACAAAAATATAATTACGTTTTAGTCACAAACGTTATTCAAGACAGGTTTCCTGTGGAATGCCATTCTCGGATCTGGTTGTGGGGTGGTAACTGGTTATTGGAGGACAACCGACCATCATTTGCATACTCAGGCAGCAAGGGAGGGAGCATCAGTAAGCCTCTGACTCGAACCGTTCGTAGATTTGCCTCGTCTGCGACTGTGGTTTTGCAAGGTCACAGGGATTCCTTTGGTTTGAGGTCCGTTTCGGAGTAAGCCCCACCCAAGCCCGTGGCGAAGCTGAGGATGTGTAGTTCTAATGGGAAGTAGTGCCAACAATGCTAGATCGACTGCTGAGCCTATTCGGTGGGAAGGAGTTTGTTTATTTGTGGCCATGTTCAAATACGTCGTAATTCGGCTAAACTACCGTATATATCATTTGTGTGCGACCAACGGATCTAGTAGCCAGTTAGTTGCCTTCATGGAACACTCGCCTGACTCACCGTTTCAATGTGTCATTATTACACTGTTTTCTACTTGCGGATGTTTAATGGAAGGGATTTTGTCACTCCCTGCTTTGCGTTTGGATCGTTACTGGAGTCCGTTGTGAAGCCCTTACAATAGACCGACCGTCGTTCCTTTCAAAATGGGTGCGGCTGTTATTGTTTCAGTGCACAGCACTTGTTTCGTGGTGACTCAGATGATTTCCTTACTGATTCGGTAGTAAAATCGTCCGGAGAATCTTTTGTCGCAGTGTCCATGCGTTTAGTCCGTGGTAGGTATTGCATATTCGTGTGACAGCTAAGAAGCGATGACGATGGGGTGAACAGAGATGCTCCCGGAAACAGGTACCATCCAGCTGTCCACATCAGCGTTATTCGACGGCTAAAGTTTGCTCCTAGGGCCATGCGATTAGATGGGGAAGTCAGACGACCTGTTTTGAAGAGTATACACCAATTTCGAAGTTAAGCACAACACGAAATTGTCTGATAAATAAAGTTGACATTAAAACTGGCTAGAGTGGTTGCCTATGAGAAAATACCGATTGGTTTGCACATTGAGTTCCATTGATGCAATTCATGCTGCCAATTCCTTTCCACTTAAGACGCTGGCTCAAAAGTATTGATTCTTGGTGCGAATCAGCACATCCTTTGCTTATTTCGTTAGGCCTAATAGAATGGTGACTTGAGGGTAGCGGTGAAAAAACTTTCTGTTACCTCAGGCGACAATAAGCTGCTCAGCTCCGTTGGTATTGAACTAATTAGGAAATTTCGAGGTCGCATGAAATGCGCATGAGATCTCAGACTTAGTTGTTCGACTTGTATGGTCTATGGAAATACTCCGCTCTCCAAACATTTGTATCTCTTCATCTGGTTTGAAATGGAGCCAAACAGGAAAGCCTGTGTTGCGGATCTCCGTTTGCGTTCTCCATTGAACGATATTGTGTGCCCTATTACCATAAAACACTGTAACCGGTCTGTTGTAATACTGGGGTGAAATATGTGTCGCTACTCAATTCAGAAACAAACATAGTTTCTCAGTCTATGAGGCTGTCGAACCGTCTATCAATGAGTTATGTATTTACACTGGAAATGTGCAAAGTGCCTATTAAATTGCAACCATCAAACAAATTACTGCATGTTATTTGTGAAGTTAACTCGTTAACAACCCGAGATTTGGGGTATACTGATCACTTAGCAGTAGGCGTGGTGCTCGACACAATGCATGCATATCTCCATGAAGTAGTTGATCTTTTCAGAAATGCGAATTCATATATTCCTTGTTGATATCTTCCTACTAGTATCATTGCGCTGTTAAACTATGTGGACGATACACTAAAGTACCCATGTTTCTTTGGTTATACGCAGTCTAGGCAGCAATTGCCATGGGTGGAGGCGTACCTGTGCCCAAAGCAACTTCTTCCGGATGCCATCAATTCCTTGTCACTCGTAAGTCAGTGACCACCGAGTACCGCACATTACCATGTATAAGCTGAGAAATTTTGGACACATTTTCATGTCCGTAGTGTGTGTGGGGAGGGGGCGGTCGGCTTATACAAATATTATGTGCAATTCGAAAAAATCACATGCAAAATCCACCCAGAAATTCACTGCACACCTATGCCCCTATCTTGCCTTAGCACCACTCGCTAGTGACAGACCGTATCCCAGGCGGGGATTTGAAGTGCCTAGAGGTGGACACATTATGTTTGGGTCAAGAATTCTCGGTATACTGCACATTTGACTTTCGTGACGGATGGCAGTAACAGAACCATACTGAATATACAGAATCGAACACCATCATACACAATAACATTGGTACAAGACATGACAGAACAGCACGTAACGGTAGATTTTATAGGCTCACATATCCAAACGCTGCACAATGGTATTAAAATTACTCCAATCCTTCAAAAGTAGAATCTGAGTCAGAATCTCCAGTGTCAGATACTGGTCGTCTGTCATTAGCACATGAGGGTGAATATCGTCATCTGTGCGGTAAAAGCTTTGTTCTGACGGCTCTAAGCTCCATTAACTGTGATCATAACATATTAGGCCGCCAACACGGACCAATAGTAGAGCAGCTTTCGCTTGAGCACACTCAAGTGAGAGCAGGTAATAATGAAGTCAAAATCGTAAGAAACAATTCCGTTTCTCTTTTTGCTGATTTTTTGGGGAGGGTGCTAATATACGAACTTCCGATTTTGGACCAAATTTGACGTTACAAATTCATACTGTCAGCTTACATACAGTAATATAGGGTAATCATTTTGACCGGCAACTCTCGACTCTAGAAGGCTATAGACATCTGTCACAGGACACTAAGTGAAACCAATGTAGGCTACCCGCTGATACTTTTGTTCCAAATGAAGTTTGCGTATTAGATCAAAACCGCACAAGCAAGGTGTATGGTTTGTGCACATATGGGATGTCGAAACTCACCACTGGGGTTGCTATCTTCCATTGTTTTTCTGAACGTTGTCCGAGAGTCAAATCTATGAAAGTAGTTGAATGGCCAACACTTTATTCCTACCGTGGAACAGCACAAATAGAATGAACGGGCTCCACACGTGGAAGATGTACATCCCCTCGTGAGACAGAAAGTGAAAATAATCCGCACTGCACCGATGGATCGCATCAGCAGCGTGACAAACGAGTGCAACACACAGCGCTGCCGGTAAAGTTTGTCTCCATCATAGGCCCACGCACGCACATAGTGTCTCGTTTGCACAAAGGACCGATGTGTAGTGGCCTATTTGTACCTGAGGTGGCCAAAACATAGAGACTACTTAGGTAACACAAGCTATGGTCACTGAGCTCGCGAATCGGCATGCGTACCGTTCGAGTAGCTGCGCACACCTATGCGCAGCTATGCGCTCGGTGTTGTTCAGCTGATTTCACAAGCTTAAACGAGGCTTGCACATCAGTACGTAACATGACCTTGACGGGACCATGAGACGAGATCAGATTCAGACATGAAGCCTGTCTGAATCAACCGCCACGCAATATGTCAGTTGTGGCCCACCAAGTCACAAGGCTCATGGCTTGTGCCGATTAAACCAGACCAAGCATTGGTATCACGTGGGAGTCCGGTAGCAACAAGCCATTCCTTACATGGTTAGAAATCCGTCAAACAATAAACATCGAGTCAAACTGCAAGACGATCAATAGTGGTACACGATTCCTCGGTTAGTAAACATGGTGGTGGTTCTACACTTAAGGCGAGGCAGATGTTAATGATGTACTTGGACGCACAATCATCAGTAGCATGCTCTAGCTCAGTGTTCATGGCCATAAAGAGTGACAAAACTGCAATCGCTTTTTATAATTGCCAGAATTAAGTGGCATGTGCATAATGTTGCCTAAAATAGCGTCTGTGAAAATGAGACATGAACTGCGCTGCATTGTTGTCGAGCTGTATGCACACCTACCAGCTTCAAATAAATAAATAAATAAATAAATGGTATATTCCTCGGTGATTCGAGGTGCAGTCCAACCATGTGGTCTGATCAATGTGTACAACAGGATCGCAAAAAATAATCAATTTGTTCACGCTTTTTACAATGGATCCAAAAACAGGTACTAAACTAATTGGCAGGATTAAGGCATTAAAGAAATTAAAAACCAGGAACAATAACGTATGCAGATTTAAACATATGTCCAGTTAAAGTAATACGGCCACTCGTGGAACCATCCCCAGGAGACCTGCTTCCATGCAAGGTATTACCTCTAAAGGTTTCGCCCGCACTTCCATGCAATAACTGGCCGTGTACCGGTGTGGCATGGTAGCATATGAGCCCTCACCTGTTTATGAACAATGAACAATGATTTATCACGAGATAAAAGCAAGTGCTTGACATGTCCCGTAGGATGGTAGCGGTGAATATGATGCAATTAAAATATGTGTGGGTCATCTATCGAACGTCTGCCGAGATGAATACTTTGATAATTAACATCAGTTTAAAAGGAAAAAGAAATATTGCGCGTAAACATTCAGAAAGACAGTGGGGCGCTGTGATAGTTGAGGTAAGGAGTGAGAAAATAAAATATGGTCGCTCACTTAGGTCCATTTGATACATTAGTCCTGTTGAAAACATGCTTGGCGTAATCCACAACAGAGGAGCTTAGGTAACATATGTTAGGTATCATATGTTGTGTCCCATTTAGGGCTGCTTTTATACCTGTATTATGAGCGATGAAGCCTCAGCCCAGTCCGTCATGCGGATCATTCAATTATGGCACTTTTTTATACGCCAGTCAATTTGTGGCAATGTGCCTTGCATAGGTAAAGTCTTTTATAATCCGGAAGTTGTAATCCGTCACTACGGGAGATCAGCCCAGTCGTGGCCAACAATGAAATAAGGAAGAATGTAGAAGAAGCATTGTATGAAAGAGGTACTATATCGTTAAGGTAAAAAAAACAGGCAGGTATGTTTTTTTACATCGGCGTAGAAATGGGTCAAGCCGACCATACCATACATTGTGTGGCGTGACAGCCGAGACAGATGACTGTACGAGTTGTCCATAGGCAAAAGTCGCATAGGGAATCAGTTGTTGCCATCACTGAATTCAATTATATGTTTCTGAACTGCTAACTTCAGAAAAGAAGGGGAAATGATTAGCACTGGAGAACAAATGTAGCGAAAGCGATCGCAGAACAATATTACGAATTAATCAATTTATGAGGAAAATAACGAAAATAGTTCCTGACGCCCCACCAGTAAATAATTTTGCACTCGGTTTTAAACAGAAGACGGTATGAATTAAGTTTGAAAGGAGTAAAACCGCATAGATAGCGTTAAGGAGTAGTATAAGAAGCGGTTTGTAGCAGATTATCCTAGCTGATCATGTTGTCAATAGCCGATACTCGCTGAGTTTGTGGCAGTCGCTTCCAATTCAGATAGACTTTCACATGTCTAAAAAGGCACCAAATGCTCGTTCGTTCTCTCGGCAGCTGTTTCAGTGATGCGTATTCCCTGTTCCGTCAGGAACTGAATACATGACCTCCCGGTCTAACAGCATGCATCCCTATGGTTAATGGTCAATGGGAAATTGCAGAGCAAAAAGTCCAAGCTTAACATGTCCAGCCGGATGACTGGTTATGGGTGAGGAAAATGAAGACAAAAATAGCAGAGAAGATAGTGAACAACCGCAAGCTGCGAGCTTGCTGCTTACAGTGTTCCCGTCTGAGCAGTTCACACTTGGTTTTTGGTACTATCCAAGGTTATCGTCTGTCGTTTACGGGCAAAAATGGAGGTGGATTGATTTGCTTTTGTTTTTCTGCTGTTTGTGTGGGCCGTTTGGGCCGTGATATGATGTAATACGGCCAGTGCACCATGGAAACCTGCTTTGAACACGGCTACCATGGCGGGGGGGGGGGTGAAATAACAGCTTCTGAGACGGTATTTCACGTGTGTCAAACATGTAGAGAGAAGAAAGATCTTCGGCACTCAGACCGACTGTATTGCTCTGTCAATTTGAGATGACCTCTCAGTTTGTAGTTGTGACTCAGAATCAACAGGGGATGACACGGGTGCGTAGTGTTGTTTAAAATTTGGTAAGTCATGATTAGGTCACCACGCAAACGCCGATAACTTCGGCTGAAAATTCCAAACACTATGAGACGCTGTTGGTATGACAAGTGGCTGAGTCCCTTGATATTTTTGGTTGCCCGACGTTGCGATATCTCTAATGCCGTGAGATGCCGCTTTAGCCATGGGTGCCATGCTTGAACTACATGTTCAACATGAGGGCGTATGTAAGCGGGAAGTATTTGGCGAAACACAGACGGTTTGATTTGCCCGAAAGGTCTCCGTAAAAGCCTCACAATTTGGATCCCCTTCTTCAATACCTTTTTGGACTGCTCCGAACAGCTGCGATCTTTCTGGACCAGCACACCGAGATCCTTTCAGAGAGAACAGTGTTGCAGATCCTGGTCTCCCAGCTTGTATGTGTTAACCATTCGGTGTCGTAAATGGAGTACTCGACATTTAGCCACATTGAATAAAAGGCGACTTTGGATTGTCCAGCCATAAATCGTGTCAAGGTCGTTTTGAAGGTGGATACGGTCTTCTGGAGCTCTGATCACTCGCCAAACATTGATGTCATCAACAATGAGTAAACAGTTTGTTACTTTGGCTTACTAGGTCGGTTATGAAGACCAAGAATGCACGGGGTCCCAGTGCCGAACCCTGTGGCATACCGCATACGACGTGAATTTTGCCTGACATGGATTCACGTACTCTCACCTCCAGGCACGTCTGCGAGAGAAAATTGCACATCCATCCGAGGAGAGCGTTCCCAACGCCACATATTTGAAGTTTGGCGTGAAGGATACTGTAAAGTCTAACAGGAGTTTGATTTCCTTTACCAGATCGATTATTCCCTCTTGATGACTCAGTGATCCTAGACCCATTTCTTTCTACCTTCCGAGCTAATAATATGCTTTTAGTGCTTTAGCTCATTACATGCTCGGGCGAGGATGGATTTACATTTGCTTTAATTGCATGCGCTTCTCTCAAGGTCACGCTTCCACTTGTCGGCTTTTAACATCACTATTCTGTTTCCGTTGTCGTCGCAAAACTAGTCGTGAGTCATAGCTTGTATATTATTTTGCCTTTTAGAACCACCGTTACAAGAGCAGTATACAAATTTTTCTGTTTCGACCGTTTTCTGCCCAGATCGTGCGTATAGTCTGCATGTATAGCTCGAAATAGCAATCGTTCTAAACAATACGTTCGACGTAACTCGATTTAGGTTGTTGCGTTCTTACAGATACCATGGTCCAATCGGTCGAATGCATCAGAGAACGCAAGATAAGCCATATGAACTCCTGCACCAGCATCCAGCGTTTCAGTGCAGCTGTCTCGTGCCAACAATAGTTTGGTTGTGCATTACCGATTCTGGCGGAAGCCGTGTTTCTGCTGGACAGTGTGACAATACAGCTTCCGCCAGAATCGGTCGCGCACTGCAAACCTATTGTTGACACGAGACAGCTCGACCGAAACGGTGGGTGCTGGTGCAGGAGTTGATGTGGATTACTTTTATTCCTCTACGGCACCTTATACCGTTAAGTAAAGGAGGAAGATGACCTGCCGTCATGGCTTACAGGAGATAACTACTATGGTGGTGCATCCACCAGTGCTATACAAGCCATGAACGGCACAGAGGACAGGGTCAGCCCCAAAAGTCACGTGCTTTCAATAACGGCGGTTATATATGGTATGAGATATAGAAGCTGTTAATCCAAATCTCTGGATTGCTCATGAAGAGCGGATTTTTACACAATTTTTATGGCAGCAATAATTTGAGCTTAGTATCAGCATGGATTTCGCAATTACTACTACGCCGCTTACTTCTGCTGCTACTTTCGCTACTACTCGTGCTTCTCCATCACACGCCAACTTTTCGCTTGTTGATAATCTAAAACCTGTTGACTCTACTTCCAATGCCCGTCTGGCTGACATACAGATCGTCCGGCCATCATCTATCCTTCGACCCCGTACTTCATTTCGTCTGGCAGCGTTCAATGTTCGGACCCTCCTACAGATTGGACAACAGGCTGGCCTGGTGCAAACTTTAGAGTCCCTCACTCATCGATGTTTGTTGTCTTTCAGAGACTCGATTGCAGGATCCCAGCACTGTGGTTAAATTGTCGTCCCCAGCTACGCTTGCGTGCACATATTACCTGCGTCTGTCTAGTGACATGGAGGTAGCGGCAGCCGGCTTAGCTGCTATCGGTATCGCATTGAGTGACAAAGCGAGGCTATATTACTCGGCTGGTTTCCAATCGACAGCCGACTGTGTGTGATTCGGTTTCAAAGCTCATGTAGAATCAGCAGACATCGTGAACAGTGGCGCAATTTGTTTGTCTTTTCTGCCTACGCTCCAGCCGACTGCAGCTGTGCATTGGTTAAGAATGACTTTTATCG